AATCAGGAGATTAAAAAGGTATTTTCTTGTGATTGCGGTGAAGATGTTTACAGACATCGCAGTCTGGGAGGACTTATTCCCGGGAAGAACCAGGAATGCTCCAGCAACAAACCATGGTTTGTTGCTGGAGCATTCCTGGTTCTTCTTGGAATAAATCCTCTTAGATTGCGACACTGTCTGAAAATCTTTGCCGCGATCATACGACTTTCCCGGAAACATGCCTTTTTAATCCCCTGTTTTTCCCCGTGTGATATCTCCATAGTCCAACACTCAAACCTCAGTGCCATGTTGGATCTCCTGGAAAATTGCCTGCCCCCCCCCCAACATATCACTCACGAAAACTTGGCCCTGTGGCCAAGCAACATGGTGATCAAGATGGAAGAAGTTATTGATGCGGACAAACACACAAGCGAGAAGAGGCTGCCGCGGTTTGCTTTTGCCTGAGCCTACTGGGAAGGGCAAGATTCAACCCGCTCCTCTCCTCTTTCACCAGCTAAGTCAATTGAGCACAAACTACTTTTGCGTGTTGAACTCAGTTTGCAGCACTTGAAGTAAGCTGAGGACAATGGGAAAAGTGGGAAGAGAAGCTGGGACATTTTGAAAGTAGCAGGAAAAAAAGGGGATTCATAGAGCATTAATCGGGACTGTCCCTGCCAAATTTGGGGAGTAGTGGTGATTTTGAGGTTACTCCTTGTTCTGCTGTGGAATAAGATCTTTTTTTCTTAATGTTACTCCTACTCCTACTCCTGTAAAAACCTCTTACTCCTTTACTCCTTACTCCTACTCCCCAGCTGTTTTGAAGTATGAAATTCTGGTAGTTCAGATCCCCAAAAGTAACTTTTTTCCAAGTTATTCTAGTGGTGTTTGGTGAACTTTGAAGTACAGGAGACTGAAAGAACTCAAGTCAGTTTTTGGATTCTACCTTTTTCTTGTTGTTTTTAAGAAAATGAATAAAATCTGGGTAAGATTTCAGGTGGGCCATACAGTTTTGGAAAAGCTTTTTGGGGGGACTACAGTGTCCAGAATCCTCCAGTCAGGATGACCAGTGGGCCATTGTGGCTGGGTGATTCTGGGAGATGTAGTCCAAAGTTTTCCAAGCTCTACATCCAGGGAAAGGGCATTGTCAGTAGCCTCCAAAGGCCTTTGCTCTTATCCGTGACTTGGAAAACTAGAGCGAAATATATGAAATATAAGCACAGGTAGCGATTTTGCATCCCTTTTGTGGGCTGAAGAAATTAGTTTTCCTAGCTGCAAAAACTGCAGGTTTGGCGCAGCAAAAAGCAAAGTACAATTCTGCTTCTTGTAGCTGGGATTCGCAGGTAACCAGCAAAAGGTTTAAAAGGAAGGAGCACAAAGAAAATCCAATTGCTAGGATTTGCCAGACTAAAAACTAGAGATCTATAGTTCCTTGGTTGTATAGTTGAATGTCAGTATTTTTGGCTAGTTCCCTGCTTGCATGATAAGCAACGGCTACAGAAATTCCCTTTTCAGCACAACAGGAAGCCTCTCTAGTTTTCTGGAAACTACAGATCTGGGCTGCATCTACATTGTAGGATTAGTGCAACTTGATCCCGCTTTAACTACCGTCGCTCCATGCTATGGAATTCTGGGATCTGTAGTTTTGTGAGATCTTGAGCCTTCTCTGCCAGAGAGCTCTGGTGCCACAGGAAACTACAAATCCCAGGATTCCCTAGGATGGCACCACGGCAGTTAAAACGGTGCCAAGCTGCATTCATTCTGCAAGTGTGTCAGCAGACTTTGGTCTTTGAAAGTTATAACAATCTGGAAAAAACATTTTTTTTTACAGGAAAAAATAAAACATAAAAAAGGTTACATTAGTAGGATGGCTACATTTCTTGCCGGATTGTCTGTGCAATGAGGAAATCTTCTCCTCCATGCAAGCAGGCAAGGATATAGAAGAGAGGTTCCCAAACTTTGGCCCTCCAGATGTTTTGGACTTCAGCTCCCAGAATTCCTTACTGCTGGCCTAGCTGCATAGGGCTTCTGGGAACTGAAGTCCAAAACATCTGGAGGACCAAAGTTTGGGCATATCTCAGATAACAAAACCTCTGACAACAGCAGCTATTTTTAATAAAGGCTTTTTCTGCCCTCCCTGGCATAACCATTTTCAAATTATTTCATATTTTCTTCCTCATCTTTTGTCTACCTGGAAGTTTTAAAAGCAGTTTTCCACTCTATGGTTCCATCCTATGGAATCCTGGGATGGAACCACAGAATGGAATAATCCTGGGATTTGCAGTTTGCTGTGGCACCAGAGCTCTCTTGCAGAGAAGACTCAAGATCTCACAAAACTAGACATTGTTGTTGTGTGCCTTCAAGCTATTTCTGACCTAAAGGCAAACCTATCATGAGTTTTTCTTGGCAAGGTTTGTTCAGAAGGGGGTTTGCCTTTGCCTTTGCCTTCCCGTGAGGCTGAGAGAGTGTGACTTGCCCCAGATCACTCACTGGGTTTTCATGGCTGTGCAAGGACTCGAACCCTGGTCTCCAGGGTCATAGTCCAACACTCAAACCACTACATCATGTTGGCTCTCGGTTTGTTGTTTAGCGAAGGGTGACCCCAAAAGCAAGCATGGCCTAGTGGTTTGAGCATTGGACTACGACTCTGGAGACGATGGGTTCGAATCCCTGCACAGCTGTGGAAATCCACTGGGTGGTTTGGAGCAAATCACACTCTCTCAGCCTCAGGGAGAGGCAATGGCAAACCTCCTCTGAACCAATCTTGCCAAGAAAACCCACGGATAGGGCCGCCATCATTTCGAAACGACTCGACGGCAGAGAATTTAAAATTCTCAGCTCTGGTGTGTCACTAGACTGCAAACACCAGGATTCGACAGGAGACAGCCACAGCTGTGAAAAGGGAATAATAGCACTATAACTTGTATAGCGTGAACGGACCGGATCCCCTGGTCTAGAGACTGATAACAAAAGTTTCCCAGCAGTGAATGGAAAGCAAGAATGCTGTTTATTGCAGACGTTGTTGCTCTAAAAGCGCTAAAGGCGATATCTTGCACAGAAGTGATCCCGTTCTCTCGGACTGGCTCAGCCCATTTCACAGCTGGAATGGCTCTATATTTCCTTCTCTGAGAAGAAATGAAAAGGAACGGGTAAACATCGGAGGTGGACTTTCATTCCTTCCCCATCTGTGCTACTGGAGTAAAGATAACGGGGACCTCAACAGGCATAGGACTCTTGCACAGTGCAGAAACAGAGCACCAAGGGTGCATCCACACTGTAGAAAGAATGCCCTTTGACACCAGCTCCAGACCATGGATTCCCGGGATTTGTAGTTTTACAAGATCTTGCGCCTTCGCTGCCAGAGTGCTGGTGCCTCAGAAAACTACAGATCCCTGGATTCTGTAGCATGGAGACAAAGGACCTTATCCCACGCTGCTCTCAAAAGTGGCAAGAAAGCGATATGAGCATCATTGCAGTACTATAGCACTAGTATAAATATGGCACTAGCACTATAATAGCGCTATGGATAAGCTAGCGCTATTGCAATGCCCGCTGAAACCGACATTCAAAAGAACCCAAATGATGCTGCATTCCGAGCGGTTTCTTGTTGGATTCTGAGCGACGTCGTGTAATCACCCGGAAAACTATAGCGCTATAGCGCCTGATTCTTAGCGGATTCTGAGCGACGTCGTGTGATCACCCGGAAAACTATAGCGCTATAGCGCCTGATTCTTAGCCGATTCTGAGCGACGTCGTGTGATCACCCGGGAATGTATAGCGCTATAGCGCCTGATTCTTAGTGGATTCTTGCTGCTTTTGGCCCCGTGGGATAAGGTCCAAAGTGATGTCAAACTGCATTCTTTCTACAGTCTAGATGCACCCTGTGATCCTGCTTTAACTCCCATGGTTGCATCCTAATGCAGCCCTGGGGCTTGTAGTTTGGTGAGGTGCTAGAGCTCTCTGGCTGGGATTTTGACTTGCCTTACGATGCCACAAATCCCAGGACTCCAGATGATGTTAGTAGCTAAACCATAGCAGTATTATTGTACTTGAAAATCTAAATTATGCCCAGTGATGATTCACCTGACAAAGGAAAACCAAACTAAACCAGACCCCCAAATACCCACAGAATTGCAACTATTTCTAGCGATTAAACAACTGGTGGAAACAAATAATAATAATAATAATAATAATAATAATAATAATAATAATAATAATAACAACAACAACAACAACAACAACAACAACATTTATTTATATACCGCCCGGTGGCGAACCAATCTAGGCGGTTTACAAAGCTAAAATACATAACTTAATAACAAACTCCCTCCCCCCCTTAAAAATCAATTAAACTAGATATCAGTTAAGAACAGTAATTATATCAAACATAACAATAAACAAAACAATTAAATAACGGTGCCCCAAACAACTAGGGAGATTCCAGATGGGCTGCATCCACACTGCCCATATAATCCAGTTTGACACGACTTTAAATGTCATGGCTCAGTGCTATGGAATCCTGGGATTTGTAGTTTGTTCTGGCACCTGATCTCTTTGACAGAGAAGACTAAAATGTCTCACAAAGTGACAATTCCCAGAAAATCCCGTGAATGATTTTTTGCTGTTTACTGCCTGGTTATTCCCTGGTTATTCCTGGGATAACGCCTCTTGACTCATGCTGTGTGTGAAAATCTGAATCGCTACCTTAATTGCGATTGCGCGATTTTCACAGGATAATCCCCACTGAAACTCCCAATTTTCTCCCGTGTAATAAAGTCCCTGGAGTGTCTTTGCAAGTGGCAGCAACAAGTGCTTGCAAATGACAGTAAGCGGCTGTTTTTCGGAAGATTGGCACATAGCCTTTTTCTCTTGCTTGGAATGGAGCCTTCCAAAACTGGAGGCTCTCCAGCGCCTTGGAAATGAAGATCCATGAAAAATAGAGACTCGGGGCCAGTGCTGGAAATCTGACAACCCTACTGTTTTCTCTGACACATACCAAGACTATATATGGGATGGAGTTATAGGTCCGGATAGTGCAGAGAAGAGTATTGTTTCACCGATGACTTACCTTTTGTTCTCTCCTTGGCAGGTACAAGCGCCTGGGAAAAGACACCCAAAAAACAAAGTTCAAAACCTGTGGAATGGCCCCAGTTTTTCTCCTATTACATCCAGTTCCTACATTTGGGTTGATCGTTCCTAGGCTTAAGCATAGAATCATTGAATCATAGAGTTGAAAGGGACCACAAAGGTCATCCAGTCCAACCCAGTGCCATGCAGGAATTTAAAATCAAAGCATACCCGATAGATGGCCATCCAGCAACATTTCACACAAGTGACTTGACTCACCATTGCAATGCATCCGTTCTTTATTTATCTTCTTTCATCCGCTTACCTTTTCCTGCTTTTCTCTGGGTTTGGAACTCATGCAACCATGCCCCATTTTAAATGGAATCACTTGTTTCATTGTTGTTGTTTTGTTAAACTTTTGTAAAAAAAAAAATACATTTCTTTGCTTTTAAAGCTGGACTTAAAAGATGTTTTAAATGGTTGTAAACTGCTTTGAGTCCCATGGGAGAAAGGTGGGGTATAAATGAACGGATTAAATTAAATTAAAATTCTATTTTAAAAAAACACACAATTTTTTTTTTACAAAACTGCAAACAATAAAATGGACCACAATAAAAAAATAATACTAACAAAGTGGGGAAAGTAAGAATGTTAAAACAGCAACCGGCTTAAGCAGAATACAGCAGGCTAGTGGTCTCAATATATATATTAAAATAACATCTTGAGGTTATAATCTTGCCTTTCCCAGCAAACACAGGCAAAAGCAAACAGCTGCAGTCTCTTCTAGCTTGTGCGTTCTTCATGAATAAATTTTGCCATATTGACCACACTCTGATGGTATTTGGCCCAATTCCTCCCAGTTTTTATCTCTGAAATATCAGATGCAAAATTATTCATAGAGAAGAATGCATAAACTAGGAGAGGCTGCAACACTTTGGTTTTGCCTCAGTCTAATGAAACGGCAAGATTAGGTTTGGATGCCATCTTGGGAGAAGGGTATACATTCAATAAAGAAAGAAATAGTATTTTTCACCTCCTCCTTTCCCACCCTCGGCTTTTGCACTTTGGATTTTTTTGCAGCAGTGGGAACAAGCTGAGGACAAAAGGGGAAAGTGAGAGGAAGAGAAACTGGGACATTTTAAAAGCAGCTGAAAAAGTGGGACAGCAAAGAAGTCATTGGGACTATCCCTGACAAATCTGGACAATTTGAGGCTGTGATACTCATATGCAAAGCTTCAGAGAAGATGCTCATGTCACTAGGCAGCTGCTTCTAATTCCAGGGAGATTTTACATAGGCTGCATCTGCATTACAGAAATAATCCAGTTTGATACCGCTTTAACTGCCATGGCTCAATGCTGTGGAACTGTTGTTTTGTGAGACATTCTGCCTGCTCTGTAAGAGAGCTTTGGTGCCACAACAAACTACAATTCACAGATTTCCATTGTGTTGAACCATGGTAGTTCAAGTGGTGTCAAACTGAATTATTTCTGCAGTGTGGACGCAGCCATACGTATGTGACCTCTCTCTCTCTAGTCTCTGCATTCGGGATATGTTAATCCATGCATAAGTAAGGAAGATCACCAACCATATGCAACTTCCTTTCCTCTCCTTAAAGTAAGGGTTGTGTTTACTGAGAAGATGTCAGTTTGCATTAGATCCCCAAAATCAGGTCTTTTAGGGAGAAACCATTTTAAAATGTTACTATTGGGATTATTTTAGAAATGAGACAGAGAGTGATTGCAGAGGTTTTTGAGCCATGGGTAACATTCCCTTCTGGCAGCCTCCTCTCATAGCATTTCCCATGCCACAAAATCCCATTGACACAAAGGGAACTCTGCACATGCACTTTAAAAAATCACAGATCGTGGATCACAACAGTAGAATTGCTTTGAGCCATTTTGAGGAATTCTTTCCCTTCTTTCCCAATCTACCCTGACCTCAATGTTGGGGATAGTTCTCACACGTTTAAAATGAAATCGCCACCCTCTATGAAGTGGTTCTTTGGAAGAACAATTTCAAAGCAGATTGCTAAAAGCATAAATAAATGACAAATGGAACGACGGAGACTTCTCCCCGTGTTTTACACTCCTGGCAATGTGGTCCCTAGCCACATCTAGGGTGACTTACACAGCTGTTCTTCCAGAACGTAAATATCATCTTGCTGGAAATAAGAAGAGAGAGACACGTTACTTGGATAATTAGAGGAATTGACATTTCCTAAACACCTTTGTAGGAATCAAGCCAATCTGTAGGAAAGAGCTTATTTAGGCTGGCAATTTGTGATGCATGGTGCTGCACCATTTCATTTCACTTCTTGATGATTCCTCATCCAAATGCCTTCCCTGACTTTTGAAAAATGCCACTAGAAAAAGGCAGCGTTTTCCAACTTATGTTGATCCTAAGGCGACCACATCACAGCAAAATTTGTTCCTAGTGGGTTTGCCTTTGCTTTTGTCTGAGGCTGAGAAAGTGTGATGTGCCCAAAGTCACCCAGTGGGGTTCAATGGCTGAGTGGGAATTCGAAACCTGGTTGCAGCCTGCTTCCTTGCCTCTATGGACCTTAACACACGGAGGCAAATTGCTTAAATCCCGTGCAGAAATGGGATTTT